CTTTGTGTAGCCTTCAAATTCTTTCATCAGTGTTTTATAGTTTTCAGAATATAGGTCTTTTACCTCTTTGGTTAAACTTATTCCTAGGTATCTTATTATTTTTGATGCAATTGTAAATGAGACTGTTTTCTTAATTTCTCTTTCTGCTGCTTCATTATTGGTATATAGAAATGAAACATGGGCACCTGAGTGGCTCAGTCAGTTAAGCAATGACTTTTGATTTTGGCGCAGGCCATGACAGTTTGTGAGACTGGGCCCTATGTTGGGCTCCATGCTGACAGCATGGAGCCTGGCTAGGATTCTCTCTATCTCTCTCTCTCTCTCTCTCTCTCTCTTTCAAAATAAATAAATAAGCTTTAAAAAAAAAAAAAAAAGAACGAAAGGAAACATATTTCTGTAGATAGATTTTGTATCCTGTGACCTTACTGAATTTGTTTATCAATTCGGGCAGGGTTTTGATGGACTCTTCCAGGTTTTCTATATAGAATATCATGTCATCTACAAATAGTGACAGTTTTACTTCTTCCTTACCAATCCAGAGGCCTTTTTTTTTTTTTCTTGTCTGACTGCTGTGGCTAGGACTTCCAGTACTATATGGAATAAAAGTGTTAAGAGTGGACATCCTGACCTTGTTCCTGGCCTTAGGGGAAAACTTCTTAGTTTTTCCCCATTAAGGATGATGTTCCACTGCGGGGTTTTTTATAAAGGGCCTTTATTATGTTGAAGTATGTTCCCTCTAAACCTACTTTGTTGAGGGTTTTTATCATGAATGGATGTTATACTTTGTCTAAACTCTTTTTAAATAAAAAATTAAAGTGATTAATCAAATTAACAGTGTATGCATATTCATTACAATTATGGAGATAAATGGCAGCAGAAAAACAGCTAAGAGATCTGAAAGTTTGTTCTTTTGGGGAGCAGAGTTGACGGGTGGGCAGGAGACAGCTCTTTCTGTTAAATGCCTTCTAACAGTATTTGAACTTATATTTTTAAACCTCCTATGTGCATGCATTACTTTGAAAAAGATAACCATTGAAAAGAAAATAATGTAAAAAATAAAAAAGATAGGCAACAACAAACATTGGCAAGGATACAGAAAAATTAGAACCCTTAAACACTGCAGTGGGAATGTAAAATAGTGCAACCACCCTGAAAAACAGCTTGGCAGTTCCTTAAAATGCTAAACCATAGATTTACCCTGTACTCCATCAATTCCACTCCTGGGTATTTACTCAAGAGAAATGAAAACATGTCCACACAAAAACTGTACACTAATATTTACAGCGCATTATTCATAAGAGTTTCGAGCTGGAAACAACCCAAAACATCCACCAACTGATGATGACTAGGTGAACAAAATGTGGCATATCCATACAATGAGATACCATTCCGCAATAAAAGAGAATGATGTACTGATGCAGGCTATAATGCAGATCAACTCTGAAAACATTAGGCCAAGTGAAAAAAAGACACAAAAGACTACATACTATATGATTCCATTTATGTGAAATGTCCAGAAAACAGATATTTAAAAAAATTTTTAAGCTTATTTATTTATTTTAAGAGAGACAGAGACAGCCTGAGTAGGGGAGAGGCAGAGAAATACCTCTCTCTGAGAGAATACCAAGCAGGATCCGCACTGTCAGTGTGCAACCTGATGTGGGGCTCAAACCCACAAAACCATGAGATCATGAACCGAGCCAAAACAGAGAGTCAGACACTTAACCCACTGAGCCCCAAAGGTGCTCCCAGAAAACAGATCCTTAGAGACAGAAAGTAGATTAATGGTTTCCAGGAGCTGGGGGTGGGAATGGGGAATGATAGCTAATGAGTATAAAGCTTCTTATTGGGATGATGCAAATGTTCTCAAATTAAAACATGGTGATCGTTCCACAACACTGCAAATACATTAAAAATCACTGAATTGTATACTTTAAATGGGTGAATTTTATGACATGTAGGTTATACCTCAATAAAGCTGCTTTTAAAACAGCAAATGATGAAGTCTGTTTTAAAAAGAAAACTTTGGGGCACCTGGGTGGCTCAGTCAGTTAAGCATTTGACTTCGGCTCAGGTCATGTTCTCACAGTTTACGAGTTCGAGCCCTGAATCCGGCCTGTGTTGACAGCTCACAGCCTGGAGTCTGCTTCGGATTCTTTGTCTCCCTCTCTCTCTGTTCCTCCCATACTCTCACTCTGTTTCTCTCTCTCTTTCTCTCTCTCTCTCTCTCTCACCACTCTCTGTCTCAAAACTAAATAAAGATTTTTTAAAAACTGAAAAAAGAAAAAGAAAACTTTCAGGGCACCTGGACAGCTCAGTTGGTTAAGTATCTGATTTTTTTTTTTAGAGTTTTAAAGTTTTTTTTAATGTTTTATTTATTTCTGAGAGAGAGAGAGAGAGAGAGAGAGAGAGAGACAGGCTCCAGGCTCTGAGCTAGCTGTCAGCACAGAGCCCAACACAGGGCTTGAACCTACAAACTGTGAGATCATGACATGAGCCGAAGTCGGACACTTAACTGACTGAGCCACCTAGGCACCCCAAGTATCTGATTCTTGATTTCGGCTGAGGTCATGATCTCACAGTTGTGAGATCAAGCCCTGTATTGGGTTTTGCGGTTGGGTGTAGAACCTGCTTAAGATTCTCTCTCCCTCTCCCTCCGCCCCTCCCCTGCTTGTGCACACATTCTGTCTCTCAAGAAAGAAAGAAAGAAAGAAAGCTCACTTTAGAAAGAAAAAGAAAACTTTCAGAATATGAGCTAATTGCTTATTAATTATTATTATAACAATCCTGAAAAGATGGTATCATTAAGTCATTTACGGTAAGGAAATTGAGGCTCTAAGAAGTCAAGCAAGTCACACAATTAGCAAACATAGCAGAGTGAAAATGTGTGAGCATGTGCCCTAACTACAGAGTTCATGCACCTTCTCCCCATGATGACTGCCCAGGCCCTAGAGAGCTGTGGGCAAATCACACCAAAGCCTGAGCTATGGTTCCTTTCACCCTCACTTCCATAAGAGCTTGTCACCATTTATGTGCGAAGCATTGTTAGGCCAATAGGTAACCTCTGCATAGCCCAATATTTTGTCTCCAGAGACAAGCACTGTGATACTGTGTTTATAATAAATATATATTTGGCTTTAGTGTCCGTTCCTGGCTCACAGCTTCCCAAATCCTTAGACTTTCCCAAGTGATAAGAACAGTGGGTAGGGGAGGGGAAGGGGGGTGATGGGCATGGAGGAGGGCAATTGTTGGGATGAGCACTGGGTGTTATATGTAAACCAACTTGACAATAAACTATTTAAGAAAAAAAACCAAGTGATAAGAACAACAGGAGCACCTTTTTTTACAGTAGTTGGTCTTTTGTCCTCATTCCTGAAATAGCATCAGAAAAAAAAAAAGTGAAACTTATATGTTCATCATAATAAGCCCCTTTCAACCACACCTGAATTTATGTTAAAGAGGTAACTTCTGGAAAGCCCCTAAGGATGGGGCTGGTTGCCAGGGTAACAAACTATAATTAGATGGTTAAACTTTCAGTTCATCCCATGACCTCCAGAGAGAGGGGTGAGGCTGGAGGTTGAATGTCAATAAGCAATCAGTAATGAAGCCTCCATAAAAATCCAAGAGAAGTCAGAAAACTTCTGGGCTGGTGAAGACATGGAGGTTCTGGGAGGGTGGTGCACTCAGTGCATGGAAGCTCTGTACTTCTTCCTCACACCTTGCCTTATGCATCTCTTCTATCTGGCTGGTCCTTAGTAACATTCTTTCACAATGAACTAGTAAGCTGGTAAGCAAAATGTCTTCCTGAATTCTAGGAGCTGCTTTGGCAAATTAGTAAAACCCAGGGGATGAGTGTGTATGGGAGCCTTTGATTTATAGCCAGTTGGTCAGAACCTGGACTTGGTGATTGGCATATGAAGTTGAAGTAGGGGGGACATGCAGTATTGTGGGACTGAACCCTTAACCTGTGAGACCTGATGCTATCACCAGGTAGATAGTGTTGGAATTGAGTTAACAATTGGTGATGCCAAAAAAAAGCACAAGCCGAATCATAAAATACAGAGACCACATGTGAGTAACTGAAATTATGTGCTGGCCAATCTGTGCCATAGGTGGTCAGACATTAGCATTTGAAAATTTAACTTTGCTTCTCTCTGCAGCTATCTGCAGTGGCCTGGGAGATGAGCTTTGGAGCCAGACTCTACAGGTACAAGTAGCAATTCTGCCACCCAGCAGCTGAAGGACGGACCCTGAGCAAGTATCTCTCTGTGCCTTAGTCTCCTCATCTCTACAGTGGGGATGAAAAAAGAACCTCTTCTAGAGGACTGTAAAGTCCTTAGAGCAATACTAAGTGCTCAATGAGTGTTTTCCACCAGCATTATTTCATCTATATATTTTAACTTGTCACTTAACTATGCAGCCTGACTTTCTCCAGTTTTGCTACAATACCGCCTTTAGCCAGTGTGTTTTCTCAACTACCATGGAATTATCTGTTGGTGAGGGGTGAGCAATGTCCTCCAAAGTTTATCACACATTTTCCTGACCCATATGAAATGAAAGCCCAAAGAGATAGCGGCTGTCAACTGGCCCAAGTCTGTTACTGTACAGATGGGAACAGTGAGGCTCTACACAGCTGATGAGCTGCCCGTCCCTGTACAATAATGTGATTATTGTACAAACATTTTTCCCAATAAGTTTTTGTGCCCCAACTTCTTCAGAGAGACGTTTTGTCCATTAAGCTAAAGAAGTTGGCGAGAAAAAGCCATACTATGATTTTAAAGACTGTCAAATGCTAATTACAAGTCACTCCACTTGAAAGATACCATTGAAAGCATTTTAATCCTCCTTCCTGCTTCCCAAACTGCCATCACTGGAAAAAAGAAAAAGCTAGTTCTATGAAAGCTTCGAACCAAACACAACAGTTGTACAGACAATGGTTATTAAGAGGTAGGCTTTTTCCCAGGGAATGGCTAAAGTGTTGGGTTTTTTTCTCTTGTTACCTTGGTAACTGCTACCTTGGCGCCCTTGTTGATGAGCTGAACCACATTCTCTGCTTGGCCTTTGTACGCAGCTATGAGAAGGCGTTCAGAAAGTGCAGCGACCGCATCCTGCTGGCTCATGAATTAGGAGAGAAAGAGGTTTTCAGGAAAGCAGTAGACAAGTTCCTTCAGCTCCACACGATGCCACTGGTCCGGGCAGGCACCCACGGGTAAAGATGCTCCCGGTCATCAGAAGGTGCCTTTATTACTATGCCATCTTCGGGACCTAGGGATTACAAACAAAGTTGCCATCAGCACCGCTCAGCACACAGAGCAGGCCACATACTTCCTCTCTCTGATTTTAGGGCATCTGCTGATCGCTCACTGCTGGGGACAGAAGCTGAGTAAAGACGGGACGAGCAGGAAGCACACACTCTGCACACCAAAGCCCCTGAACTTGCAAGTAGAAGGCAGCAGAATGTGCCAACCTCCCTCCCTTCTTCCCCCTTCAGGGACATTCACCAGAGGACGATGGCCAAAACTGTGAGGTCTGCTCGGCACTTCCATCCCGGGTAGCAGAGGCCTGATATAACCCCATCAACATCACCTGGGTTCCAGGCCTGCCTTTGGCAGGTAACTGTACTGCGCATGATGAGAAAGGGCCCTCTGGCCGTGTTTTGTGGGCCCACCACTGCCCACATGCTGATTCCCCTGGACTACACCCCACCGAGACCCTCGGGAGTGGGTTAAATCCTTGGAGTGTTCCTCCAGCATTTACTGCAGTTCTTTTGCTTCATCCTTGTGTCACTGGTAACAGTGCAGCTTCCTGAGTTCTGGGACAGATGGAGAGCTGGGCACAGGCCCGGGCCATCTCCCACTTCCAGTTATTGCCGGAACAACCCACCTTGGGAACAACGCGGATGCTAGAAACACTGACAGTGCACACCGCCAACCGCATCAGGAGGGCCTGGTGTTGTTGCTTCCACGCTTAACGGGAAATAAAAGGCCTACTAAAACCACCTACAGGATGCAAAGCCCCACTCAGAGCAGTGGTCTGGAGGTAGTAACTGTAAGTAAAATTAAGCTCTTCTTTCCATCAAGTGACAAATGAACAGAATTTTAATGACTGACTCCTCCCAGGAGCCTGGGCCACCATCAGAGCAAACCAAAGCCACTGGTAATTATATCCAAAGTAAAACATTCTCTGGATAGAAGAAGGAATGTTTAAGAATTGAATCCTTTCAGGGCACCTGGGTGGTTCAGTTGGTTAAGCATCCAACTCTTGGTTTTGGCTCAGGTCTCACGGTTCGTGAGTTCGAGCCTCACATCAGGCTCTGTGCTGTCAGATTCTCTCTCTCCTTCTCTCTCTGCCCTTCCCCCATGTGTGCATGCATGCTCTCGCTCTCTCTCTCAAAATAAATAAATAAACTTAAAAAAAAAAAAAGAATTGATTCCACTCCTGCTAGGACAGCAAGGAAATGAAAGCTTCTTTGTGTTTTAAATCATACTTATTAAAAATACCAGTAGGAGCACCTCAGTGGCTGTCAGTTGAGCCTCCAGCTCTTGATACAGGCTCAGATAGTGACCTTATGGTCCTGAGATCAAGCCCCGCATCAGGGTCCAATCTCAGTGTGGAGTCTGCTTGGGGTTCATTCTCTCTCTCTCTCTCTTTCTCTCTCTCCCTCTTTTTCTCTTTCTCAATGTCTCTCTCTCCCTCCCTCTGTCCTTCTCCCCTGCTCGTGCTCTCTCTCTCTCAAAATCAGTAGACATTTAAAAAATATACCAATGTATGCAAATACAAAGAAAATGCTGTGCCAAAGGGACACCACTCTTTACCCCAGACCCTACTAGACATTCTAATTTTGAAGTCCTGGAAGATACTCTTTTACAGTTGCTTCCAGGCAGAGCCAATGTTCCTTTCAACTTCTAAGATTAAGGAATTGTCGAGGCGCCTGGGTGGCTCAGTCGGTTAAGCGTCTGACTTCAGCTCAGCTCATGATCTCACAATTCGTGAGTTCAAGCCCCACATCGGGCTCTGTGCTGACAGCTAGCTCAGAGCCTGAAGCCTGTTTCAGATTCTGTGTCTTCTTCTCTAACCCTCACCTGCTCATGCTGTCTTTCTCTCTCTCTCTCTCAGAAATAAATTAAAAAACATTAAAAAAAAAAAAAAGGAATTGGCCATGAGATGATGAGGAAAGATCTGGACTGTATGTACCTTGCTCTAACTCTTGTTCACCATGACATTCCAGCCAAGTCATTTTGCCAACAGCTCTGAGGGGCTGAGGTTAAATAATCACACATAAAACAGACAAAAAAAAAAAAAAAAAAGGACCATGGTGGAATTAAAGATGACATTTTTCTATGTGGAAGTATTGGCCAAAATGTGAATAGTTTCAAAAAGGTTATTATTATCCCTCTGCCCCCAACTTGTTAATCATCAACTTTTCTCACTTCATCTGTATGTTGCCCAAAATGTGGTTAAAGAATAGCAAGGAAAGAAGGAACCTTCACAAATCCATCTGCTCTGCTCATTGGAAATGCAACAAATCTGGAGAAGGTATGCTGCAAAGAGAGGACTCTGCTCTTAGCCACAGGCAGAGCCCCCTGGGATGCATGGGGAATCTTGGCTGAATGAATGAACCAATGAAAGAATCAAGCTGTGACTCAAAGCAGAGAAACTGAGCTGGAAATGCTACCTAAAATTCCCAGGGTCTCACTGAGAGACTAGTTTAGGCTTTATATTTCCCAGACTGTCCCACTGTGTAGAAGCTGTTTTTGTAAACATTGGACACACTCTCTCTCTTTATTCAGGTGATCTGTGGTATCTGCAAACCAATTATACTGAGCTTCTGCTGAGTTTGCCCCAATACCGCAAGAGCACTCTGGGCCCACATGGCAGGAAACTACAGTATTGGCCGTGGCATCCTAAATGCTCTCCCTCCACAACTACATTCTTCATTTACCCATGTGTTATCTGACACACTCAGCCTGAAGTGCCACCTTCCTTTTCTTGCAGTGGGCATCAGAACGTCTCAATACAATGGCCTGGTTCATTACAAATACTATTATCGTGACTAAAATTTCACTCATTTTACTTCATAGCTTAGCTCCTGGGGATAGAGACATCCTTGCTGCAAACTAGTGCAGCCCACCAGCCAAGGTCACGATCTCCAGTTCAAGGGTGCTGGCCAGAATGGGGAGAAACCCCAGCAAGAGATGCAGGGGTCAGCAGGCCTGCTGTACATGGACAGCCACTCTCCCTCCTGTCCCAGATAATAAAATCGGCTCTCAGACACCCATTGCCATGGTGGCAGGCTACTGAGATAGCCTTGTTTATATAATCACCTTTGGTAAACAGCCCTTTATAAGTCTAGCACACATTACTATTCATTTTGTTTTAAGATAGAAAAAACACTACAGTTGAGAAATGTTGGCCAAATAGATTTTTTTTTCTTTTTTTTGCTTTTCAGTTACAGCTACTTAAGAATGAAATGCTCTCCACTTCCTACCCTATCCCACCCCCTCCACCATGGCCAATGCACAGCCTGCCTGAGGCACAGAGAAGCTCCAGGATTTGTCACTCAGAGGATTTTAGATTACCCCCCCACACACACACACACACCAGCTAGAATTCCATGAAAACTGCCTGCAAAGTCAGGAACAGAATCCCAAGTTTCCAGTTCCCAGTCTGTGGCTAGCATTATCCCTACATGCTTGGGCATCTAAAGTTCATTCTCAGTTGAAATCCAGTAACAGCGTCACTGGTAAGACACCCAGTATTCACCTACAGTTGCATATACACACAGGGTGGGTAGGAAGAAATCAAAGTAGCTGAGTCTTCTTTTCTGCTTCCTCTCTGTACCTCCATCCTTTTGGAATAAGGGGCTTCTCGTCTGACACCTCCGAGCTGACAAATCAGGAAGGCAGAGGTAGGTTGAGGGAGAAGAATAAGGAGATTAGAAGATGCCCACCAATGAGGGGGGAGGGGAGAAGAATAGAGAAGTGGCAACTAGTCTGCAATCAACCAGTTAAACTTCACTGCCAACCTGTTGGGTACCTCAGCTGTAGCAGCCCCATTCCCTCATTCAATCTGAGCCTCCTCTTCCAAGTAGAACAGCTATCATTCAAGACACTTCCCACTCCTGGCAGTGAGGAATTTCTTCTGCCCTATATCTATCAATCACATCTTTCTTTGTCACAATGCTCACTTTCACAGCATTCTGGAGAAAAACATTAAATGCAAACATGCTGCCAGTTCTTGAAGCAGAAATGAAATAAATCCATGATCATAAATATTCAATGAGCATCCTGAATCCAGAAAGGTATTTAGCTTCTAAGAAAGATTTCCCTGCTTTCTCCCAGCCCACCGCCCCATTTTTGCTGCATTCCAATTTGTAAACATTTTCTCTCATTGCGAATGCTAGAGGGCCACACAGCTGCTTGGTCTGTGATGCAATCTGTTTTCTTTTTATAGCAAAAGGTCTATGAGGTTTATTTTTGTTGTTTTCTTGAGGATTTACAAGAAGTCTCCTGGGACCAATATCCCCAAACTACTACATTCAGTTTCCTGACAGGCAACATATTTTAGAAGAGACCTGCAGACAGAAGTCCCAGCCAGGCATATACATATCCCACCCAGAGACAGTCCACAGGCACCCAGAATCAGCAGTCAGGGAGCACCATCAGTTACAATAATTCACTTTGCTCTTACCGCTTAAAACCCTGTAGTGAAGAGATATTGTACTCACATCCAGGGGTCTGTCCTCCCCATTCTACATGGTGTTCAGTTGCTGGGTAATTGCTGTCAATTCTTTCCTGGAGAGATCATTAGTTTCCTACGGTTGTCACGCCCAGTGGGTCTGCAATCATTTACTCGCCTTTTTCCCTTGAGCTTTCTCTGCCAGTTCTGGCCAAATCACATCTAAAAGCTTATTAAGACATCTGTTCAGCTCACAATGTTTTGTGGCTTTCTAGTCTGCTCATCACAGCTTCTGAAAGTCTTGGGGCTTCAGGTTTTGTCGGACTGCTCCCTTCCGCCAGCAGAGGACCTGTAAGACTGCCCTATGGAAGAGCCGGGGAATAATTCACAGATGGGAGGAATGCTTTTGAATGAAAGAAATGAAGTCTGCACTCTGCCAGCAGTGATGCCAGGAGAAGAGAGGGATGTGCATGTTGTAAGGGATGGAGACTGAAGGAAGGGTCAAGATGTATTATGGTAACAACAGTCCACCCTCCTTGGCAGAGAGTTCCAGCAGTGACTGCAGCAGCACAGGAGACAAGATGCTGGATGAGCAGCTGTTTCAGTGTTTGTAGGGCCACAGTCTGTCTCACAAATGCCCCTCTGAGTCTCTGGCGGGGTGGGGGGAGGGAGAAGACAGGGAGCAAAGCTGTCCAAGTGCTGTCTATGGTCCTAAACATCACAGGGGTGTCCTCCAGACCACTTGTAGGAACAACAGAAAACTAGCTCCCCAACAGAAGCAGTCCTAGAAAGGAAGAGGGTTTTCATTTTGACTTGAGCCTTATCAGCACATTTTCCTTATTTCTAAAGAAGCATTGTTGGTCCTGAAGATGGGAGAAGGACTGTCAATGCAAACCCTCTAAGCACCCTCCCTGCTCAAGACATGGCCCCCATTTCCTTGAGGGTACTAGCTCTTATGGGCAACAGGCTGGGATTCTGCCACGGCCATTATTTGGCTTATACCAAGGGCAGAATAGCCAGACTCATGGCAGCGCATTACAGGGAGACTAAATGGGAGGCAGCTCTGGGGAGATAAAGCGCCAGTAAAATGACAAGCTTATTTTTAGTACACAACAGTCGTACTAGCTTATCCAGAAGCGATCACTGCTGGGATACTGCCATCACCCCTGGAGGACAAGTGAGGTTAGAACAGAGAGGAATGTGGTTCACTCCCTACATTAAAGATACTGGCCCTGATAAGGGCCCAGAGGCCAGACGCCAGGTGAGAAATGTAAACTGAATGTGACAGAATCACATACGCTGATACCTACACGCTCAAAATCCAGGCCAGGAGTCATTGCTGAGCCTTCCGTGGTCGCTTCTTTCCCTAG